ATTAAGCTGGTTCAAACGCAGAAATAGACGGATGAAAGAGAATGCCTTACGATTGAACTGAATTTCTTGCTTTTAAGATTTAAAATCTAATAACAATGAGACACAAAAGTTAACATTCTATTTCTTTCATCAAAGAAAACATTTGAATTTTTCAACATTTCATTGTTATTCCTTGATTGAAACAAGCACAATAGCAATATCATCTATTTTACTATAGATGGCAATTTCCAATTGATTAGCACCAAACAAATCACTTTAAAATCTGTATGACACTCTTTCTGTTCATATATTTGCTTCATTTTATTGACAGTCAAATCCTATCGATGGAAATTTAAATTACCCAATTATGGCTAAAATCATAGCATGAAGTTATAATCGTTATATGCTATTTCATACCTTCATCAGCACTGATGTATATGAAATAATTACGAGTCACATTGATTCTGGCAAGTAGTTTTAAACAAATAAATAATAATATATAAATAAATAAATAAATAAATAAATAAATAGTATATAAATAAATTAATTAATTAAATAAATAATAATAGAATGAAAAGTACGAAGTAACTAATGATGAAACGAAAACTCTTTCGGTTTCTAATGATAAAATTTTCCGAAAATTAGTTACAAAAATTTCGTTTCAGTAATTTCAACTGGAAAAAAAGAAAAATCATTCTGTCATAACAAATAGGAAAAATTCACAAAACATTTTTAGAAATTTAGTTATCAATCTCTTTTATTATGTTATCAATCCTTTTATGTTATCAATCTCTTTTCTGCTCCCAATTTCTCACTTCTCTACGAAATTTAGTTTAAAAAAAAAGAAAATTTCACTTTTATGGAAGTGACACTTTTCTCGCATCAATTCTTCATCAACTCCCTGTACATCATGACTGGAAAAAAGGAGAAATTTGATTGATTTTAGAGCTATCCAGCCATTTTTTTTCGAGCGGCCAATTTTCAAATTCGCATTAAACATCCAACATCTTCCCACCTCCTGTCGAAAATTTGACATTATCTTTCATCTTCTTTATATATATTTGTGTCAAAAAAATTTTATGAAACGAAGCAATCGGTGCAAGAAATGAATGTCTCACAACTATTAACTGCAAGAATTGGCTTACATAATCGATAACAAGAGTTACTAGCTTACAAAAATCGATAACGAAAACTACCAGTTTACAGTGATCGATTACAAGTGCTACTGGCTTGTGGTTATCGATTACAAGAGCTATCAGCTTGCAGTCATCGATTACAAAAGCTATTGCCCTACAGAAACCGATAACAAAAACCACCGACTTGCAGTCATCGATTACAAGAATTGTCTCACAGCCATATATTATAAGAATTGTCTTGCAGCTATAAATTTTCGAAAATTGATCAAAGATTAGCCATAGATTTGCGGAAATTGATCGAAGTTATTAAATTATGTGGATTTCTGATTGTTACAACAGTCCAGTTATTTCCAGTTCATTAGATTGATAAAAATCGGAAATAAATATATTGCACTTTTTTCTTTTGCAAATTTAGATATATCCATATTTCATCCCTTTAATAGTTTTAATGAAATTTAAAGCATTAAAGAATTCGTGTTTGTTTCGGTTTTTATTAACCTAATAGACTTGATAATCAATTTATTAGTCAATTATTACATCTTTTATGATTCCGCACTTTGCTTTGTCCGATAGTTGTTAGTCTCGAAATTATTCCTGATCAATAATGGTGAATCAGTTAGAAGCGTTCTAAAAGCGTTCTGGAGACAGTTATACACTAAGTCACTCTCAGTCCATTACTTCATCAGTCAGTCTTTTACGTTGTGTTTACGTTTATATAATGCCATAACGAAGTTATTACTACTAACATGCAGAATGAATTCAATGATAAACTGAAATTTGCAATGTGTCGGAAAAAATTTTAGAAAGTTATGGATAATCTGCAATGTTTTGCGGTAAATTCTTGAAAATGTATATATTATATATCCATAGTTTATGAGATATTTCGACGTTAATTGAATTTTTCCATAATATAATTATCTTCGTAGTTGGTGAAATCGTCAATTTAAGCTTAATTTAAAATTTGCGATATTTTTACATTTAATGTGATTGATGAAGACTTTACACTCATTAGGTCTACGGTTCATTTTACACATTTGGCAGTATGTCACTTCCATTTCCGGTTATAGAAAGAAGAGATATAGAAAAAAGGAAGTCTTTAGAATTCCAAGATGTTCAATATTTGAATACTTCGATTGGATACATTGAAATTGACCCTTCTTTTGAGTCTTTGAAGAAATCCATCGGGTATGATTCGAATTTCTCCCTTATAATCCCGTATGATGAATTGTTTGTGAAAAAATCTGATTATGTTTTCATATCTTTAGTGTAAAAATTTTCGTGTATATATTAAACAGTATTTAACGATAGCATGCGAAGAATATAGATCGACTATTTATTTATGGAAGACATATTCAATATACCATAGATTTAAAGGACCACTATGATTGCTATAAAAGAAGGAAACGAAAATAAGGAGAAGAAGGAGCGGCTGTGAAGTCAATGGGTTTTCTTTCATTCTTCAGTCGTAGAGCAAAATGCCTTTTTTGTGTATGTTTTTAATCGATAGATACATGGATAACTAATTTTCCATCATTTTTCATTCATGCTAAATTATCTAAGGAAACATAACGGATGAAAGAACAACGAACTTCATTTGCATATTTCCAAAATTTCTCACGGTATATATATCCTGATAATAATTCATTCATTCATAATGTTCAGTATCAGGTTAGATTGACTTCCCATTATTTTCATTATTAGTGTTTATGAAATCTCTTTACGGTTCATTCTGAAAATTTCATAGAAGTCTTTATATTTGCAATTCTTTGATTCGTAGGTTTTATAATTGTTCAATGAGAACTGAAGATTTTTTATTCAGCAAAGTTAGTCGAAATGAAGACATTATTCGAAGGACATTTTATTTCATTTTCCATGTTTCAACTTCAATTTGAAAAAATATCATTATCCTTGATGTTTCATTTAAAAACCTTCAATCTACTGCATCACAATAAACGATTAATGAATATGCTTGGCTGGGAATGCTTTCATTCAGCTTAATTTCTAACTGATATTACTTACCGAGACTGATTTTTTTAGTAACGTAAAGATTGATTGTTTCAGTAAGATTGATTTAGTAACGTATTCTAATAATTCATAGATGACCGATTCCTATAGGAAAGAAAACCTTAAGAATAGCAAACATTTAATTGCATCTTATAGTTGGTGCCCTCAAAATCTTTTGTACAATGCTCTTACTATTTAGTCACCACTTCGTAGTGCTGACCGGAATTCTAAATGAGGATATTTAAAAGTTTGAAACATGCTGATAGCATTTACTACATACATTGGCGAAGGGAAAATTTTTTAGACTGTTGAAATTTTTAAAAAATTCATCTAACAACCAAGCATATTCAATGAATTTTCAAGTTTTAGTGCCATTTCTATTTTTTGTAAAATGAATTTAATTATCAAAAATTTAATTACTAATGAGAAAGAAAATTATATTAGTACGCGAGAAATGGAACAAATCTCCAGAAGATGAAATGTAAGTAACACTGAATATTTCTACCGCATACATAAGGATGATTTGTTCTTTATCAAAATAGTAGTTAGTTTCAATAAAGATATTTATTCTTAGTAATATATATCGTAGTACTATTTTACCTCTTTTACCTTATGCCAATTGATCACATCAATATAATATTGACTTTTCATGACCTTAACATAAACTTATGATATAATCCAAATTAAAGTCTAAATTTTTTGCTACCTTGTATTTTTTCATAAATTTTTGATAATATATTAAATAAATCTTTATTTTTGTAATCTGTTGTAAATAGTTAACAGATACAGAGCAAAAAATCAATCGAATTTGTCAACAAAAAATAGTCATGTCATGGGACAGAAAGTACTTCAATCAATTTCATCACAGATTTTGCTTCATTTTTCTAGCCATTTATTTAAGTATTCATTTTAGTCATTCTGCAATTTTAACAGATTCCATTTTTTTTCATTGTCCATGTTTAGTTCCCTATTTGGATAGTAGTAAATTTATAGCGAAATCCTACATCTTTAATTTAATACGGTGTAAAAATAAATCGATACAAACAAGTAGTAATAGATTTGTTGCATTTTTTAACGTAACTTTATGGAATTGATTTAGGGCATCCCTTAAGAATGATAGGGATGATTCTGTTTGAAATTCTGGTTTTTATTTTAGTTTTTTATTAATGACTTCTTATCGGTTTACAGTTTCATTTTTTGCTTGCTCGTCCTTCGTCTCCGTATTTTAATAGTAAGCGGAGCATACTCTTATCTTTCTAATTTTAATTTAAACTTTTATCTCTATTTTTACTTGAATTCATGTTGTAAATAGTTCACCTCATCATGTCATGTCTTGTTTCATCTTGTCATATCATGTCTTGTTTCTTTTTTCACATTAAAAACTTCGCGAGTTATAGTCATCAATCACTGGGTGCATTTTATTTTCTTTCAATTTTAAATCTTCAATTTAGTATAAAGCGGACAAAATTCAGCGATTTGAATGATAATTAGAAGCAGATCACAGTTAGCTTGCAGAATAATCGATAACTGAAGCAGCTTTTAATTAGAATTTCTAAATAGTTAGAAATCTTCAGTGAGTCCGTCGCAGAGATTCGCAGAGCTGCTGTTTACAAATTTATGAACTATCTTTATCAACTTCCGCTGCTCTATCAAGTGGTTTTTCCACAGTACTGTCATTCCTTAACCCTCACTTATTCTTTTATCTTATCCTTTTCATATGCAAACTAGCAATGCTTATAATGGAATTCATAAATTTGAAAATTTTTTGAATTCAAATTGCTACCTTATGTCATAATTGTTTGTTTATTGAAATAATTTATTAAATTTCGTACTATTTTTTTTCTGTTAAAGTTGTTAAAATTTTAGTTTTCTTCGGTTTCAATGAATTTTATATTTGCACTATCATTAATTAGACGATGCTTCACAACAGGTCCAACACGAACAATTATTGATGGTAAGTTCGATAAATTAGAGTACTTTTTTTTGAGTTAGAATGTAATGATTTGTCCTACTAAAGGAAATTTACTTCATGGAGATTTCTGAGACTGAATCTCCTTCTATTCTGGGCTATTTCTCTTCCACCCTAATCTTATAATCATAATTATCACGAATGAATATTCCATTCTAATACATATCACTCGTTAGTTGATATTTAATATTTATTATCAACTCATTATGAGTTCTTGTTTCTCATATGACTGTGCAGATAGTCATATAACAATATATGAAATATGCTTTATGTTACCGACAGTTTCACCGGTTTATTTCACCGATCCTTGAAATATGCCTTATTTTAAGAACAGTTTCACCGGTTTATTTCTCTGGGCTCACAATTGCTACAATTTGTTATTTTTCCATTTTTTACCATTTCATGTTTGTGCTATCATATTCTTTCTTTTAAGAGCAAATCAAATCAGTGATTTTTTTAGTTCACAAAGCCCTGGAATATCACGTATCGCTTATTAAAAAAAATGATCCAGCGAAAAGGTAAGTATTGATGTCTCACTGTTCAAAATTTTGTGTGAGTAAAGAATTCTGACATTCACAATAATTACATGGTGTATCACATCCTAATTTATCACAACCTATTACATCCATTCTAATCTTCATTAAATTTTAGCTGTGCACCACGTTTTCTGTAAGATACTTAAAAACTGAGTAATGTTTGAACATGTTCCATAGAAGCTTTGTTGCTAGTACGCAAATATTCTCTTTCAATTAAATTGTATTTCAAAAATAAAGTGCAGTACAGCGAGGAAGTTCCGGAGCCGAGTGATGAACGACAGCCGTGATCAGGTGGTAATACCTTTAAAAAGTTCAAATAAGGAATTTCATACTAGATACATTGGATGGTGTAATTATGTACGTTTTGGCATGCTTCTAGAAGATCTGGACACATTCGCTGGTTTGCTTCTAATTTTCATAAATTGCTATTTTTTGTATATATTTTACGGTTACTGAACTGTTTTGTTAATTAAAAAAAATTCAAGGTTATTAAAGTGTTTTATTAGATTTAAAAAGAAATTGTTTTCAATTATTTTCAGGTTTGGAGATTTGAAATTACTCAATCTTTTTTTTAATTTTTAAATTTAAATTTCGTATTTAACCGTGTTTCAAAGTTTTGAATAAAATTTCAGTTTGGTTAGCTTATCGACACAATCAGGGAGAGATACATCTTAAAAATTCGGAAGATTTTGAACCAATAACATTCGTCACGGCATGTGTTGATCATATCAGTAATTTATTCTATAATATTATTGCGTATTAATTGTAAACTATAAATTTAGAGATCAATTCTTACTGTATTGAGAAACGGCCGATAATTTATAAACTTTGACTGTGACTTATTTTTCAAGACTTGCTTTTTGTGCTACAGGAATGGATGACAAATACGATATTGTGGTTGACGAAGATATTTATATGGATGGTTTCGTGAGCTGGGTAGGCAGATCGAGTCTTGAGACTTCAATGCAACTTTCTCAAAATATTGTATGTTCCATCGTCTATTTCATCCGAATTTAAAGCTCTGTTCTCAATTCTGCGATACATCCTGAAATTGATTAAAAATATTTCTACTGACTTGAAAATGCTAATCTAAACAAAAATCGCCATCTTAATCCCAAAATTAACAAACTTGTATAACTTTCCTGTTAACTGACTAATGTATAACTTTCCTATTGACTGACTAATAATGTTGAAAAGTTAATTCAAGATCTCATTATCCTTACATGTTCATTAACAAAAACGTCACCCAGAATGGTGTAACGAACAAATTCTTACAAACAAAATTTGTGATGGTTGCACGAGATGCGGAAGGTAAAAAATCGCTACCCAATATTCCATTAGTTGTTACAAATGCAGAGGAAGAAGCGATTTTCAATAAAGGAAAAGGTATTCACTTCATACCTTTCCCATGCATGAAGTGATTTTTTAAAATATGATTCATAGTAGTAAAATGTGAAGGAAATGTATACAAATGCACATTACAATCTCAATATAAATTTTCTCATCTCTTTTTCTTTCTCGCTCCCATCCTCTCTCTTTCTCTTTCTTCTGACTCCGCTCTCTTCCTCTTTCTTCTAATTTACCTTCGTTTACTCCACTCTCGGGAAATCTTCGAAAGAAGTAGAGAGCTGCCACGTTACTTGTAAACGAAGGTGCGAACTCTCGGACTCAGTTTTTGGTTAAAAAAATTATTCTTCCTTTCCATATTATATTCTTTTTAATATAGTTGGGATTGTATGACTTTCCTTTTAACTATAATTAACTGTAGATTAGTTCAGAAGGTCGAAGATTACGCAAACTGAATGAAGAATGCTCGCTGCTGAAAACACCACCAAATGAAAGCGAAATCGGAATATTGCATGATATTTTCAAGAGAAACATCGAGTCTGGGTGAGTCTGGATCTTCGTGAAAGAATTCAGTGGATTATACACTCTTACACTAAACCGTTTTATCAGTTTATCAATTTAAAAAAGAAAAAACTTCCTACTGATAAATTTTAAGATTGGCTGATAAAGAGTTATTAAAGAGTTATTAATAAAGAGTTATTAAGACTGATAAAGGCTGATAAAGAGTTATATCCACATTATTCAAAAATTAGTACTCTAACTGATGAATCAAAAACACGAACCGTTCCCAAAGTTGAAGTTTTATGTTCATATAACTTAATAGCTGGTTTTTTGCATATATTTTCCAGTTTTATTATTCTCAAATTCAAAATGCATGGCAATTCTCCGTTTTTAAGCAGTTTTCTCTAACTGAAATTTATTTATTCAAGTAAAAGACCATTGAAAAGAGTTTTTTCAGGCGTCAAAAAGGTCATAACGGAATCGTACCACCCAATCATGTATGGATTCATGATGCTTGTCTTAATGATACCGTTATTTGTTTTCCAATAAAACGAAATATATATGGCAAAATATTTGGTGGCTTCCTGATGCGAAAAGCCATGGAATTAGCTTGGTCTAATGCATCTTTATTCAGGTACTATTGCTATATTAATTTTCCAGTTTAATTTCTAACATTTCATATTTTTACATTTTCCACACATCATTCATTAATTCTGCTAATTATTTATAGTTGTTCAGTTATATTTATATATTATTGTATGTTTTACAATAAATTAATATATATTTTAGTGGAAATCGTTGTCGCATATGTGGCGTGGATGACATTATGTTTCGCAAAAGCGTAGATGTAGGTTCAATCCTTGTCCTTTCAAGTCAGGTAATCCCATTAAATAACTCTTTGTATTTCCTCTTAAATTAGCACAAGCAATGTAAATTCTTTACCATGCTACTTTTTACGTTTTTCGATATGCAATAGTTTTGATCAAAATATCATGCAACATGGAAAAAAAGAAAAATCCGAGATTTATTAACGATCATTCATCACATTTCCAAATTTCTTATCGGCCATCCTTTTTTAAGTTTTTCGTCTGATTTTTTCTTGCCTTCACTGCTCCATGGACGCTTTCAAATTTGATATGTTAAAATATTTAGATAGGACACTATTCATATTCCATAATGCAATATTTAGAAACTTAGCGCATCACGGCTACATTCATTATCAATAGCATTTGAAAAATTCAATTACAAGATGGACTGAATTTTCTTCGGATTCCACCTAATAGTTATAAGTTGATAGCCAAAGGGCTCCAAACCTTTTGCAGACAGATTATAATCTCCTTGAATATTTCCCTCCATATATTGACACTATTTAATCATTGTCAGTTGCATACCTTGGGAGATATACAAATTAGATTTTGACGAAATATTGTAAGTCACGCGTCGCTTGATTTATTCCCAGCGGTATTGTCAAAAAACTAAACAATGTCGACTTTCTCCAGTGCTCCCAATAATTAGAAGCGTCTTGTGTTCCCGAAAAACGAAAGAAGAATCGGTTTAAGCTCGGAAGATCTAAAATTTCTCATTTGGTACAAAAGGAACAAAGCAGTATTATTTTCGCATAGTAATTGCATAGAATCATTTTTAGCATGTTTTATTATTTCATGCTAGGAAAGTCTGAGAAAGTTTAAGTAACGAGAGACAATAATAGAACCGAGTGACTACAGGTGTGCTACAGTACTGATCACTACATGGAACTTATTGTTGATGCTGAAGTTTTGGATATCGTCACTGGAAACCGCGAAGTAATTTTTTCTATTATTTGTACACTCAATTGAAAAGCGTAATATCGCTATTCGATAGGTTGAACATTTAGGAACTTTCACTTTCTCACTTTGTTAGGTTCCTCATTCCAACTAATTTACATCTTTTTTTGCGGTTGGAATCAAAGGGAATTGATTTTCTATAATCATCTTTCATGAAAGACAAATAATTTTGTTTTGGAGAATATACCGTAAATTATGGACGCATGCAGACGAAAACACAAAATTAAACATAAAGAATATGGGAAATTTTTTTTGCACTTAGCTCACCATCCATTTAACTAAGTTCAGATTTCAATTATTGAAAATTTCAGTTAACAAATACATTTTTTCTAACATTTCAATCTGATCGCACCATACCAATTGTCATACCATATTCGTACTCAGGTTTGTGAATTCCAAATTTCTTTGATTCTTTTTTGATTCTTTTCCTATATGGAACGAATTAGGATGCTTTAGTCTTCATCTTTCAAGGAAATTCTGGCCTTGAAACATTCTGACTATTCTCTGCAAGTGTTTCTATTCTTCGAAAAGCTCTCAAACAAAAAGGACAGGTTTAGCATCACTAAGTCCTTTTTTTCATTTCAGAAGGTATGCTTTACTTGGAAGCAAGACGACGTTTCGATAGATTCCTTTCGCAGTATCGCAAGGCACTTCAATAATGTTTTTTTCGCTAGAAAATTGTAATAAATGTGCAGTATAACAAATATAGAAATAATTGTGAAGTATGTGTTCAAAGATCGAATAGAATTAAAGGCATCATAGCATTTCATGTTTTTCGAAAAATTTTTATTACTTCACTCTATTGTCACTCAAAAAATTTCATTGCTGTAATGATTGCTTTCAGCTCTTGACAAATGTAAAAAAATAAATCGTTGTATCGTGTACATGTCAATTTGATCTTATAATATTTCAAGCTATCACAAGAATTTGTTTTATTCCAAAAAATATTAATGCTTGATAATTTGGGTGATCGGACTGATGAAAGGATGGAAGCGATTGTTCGCAATAACATCAGAGAAATTCTGACCAAGCTACTGACTGGTTTATTTGCACTGTTATGAAGAAGAACCACAAATAATCGTATAGTCGGAGAAATTATTTTAATTTTTGGTTTGAGGAGTTGATTTGAGTTTTATTAAAATGTTTTCCCAGTATCGAAGGCTTTAATTGTGTCAAAAGTTCAAATGTTTCTCTCACGTGAAAGTACGGTTCATCATAGTGTTTTGCCGAGATTTGGAGAAGCGCTGAGAAGATGAGTTAACATTGAAGAAATTTTCATAAATAAAATGTTCTTATATCATCTAATGCTTCTATCATATAAATATGAGTGGTAATAAGTTTAAGAGTTGTTTTAACAGTCAAAGGTCTACGGATTCATTTTTTAAAAAAAAGTTATAGAATTAGAGATAACTGTTGGACCATGTATTTTATCAAAGGTATGACTGATAGGCCGCTAAATTCTAGCGCATGATAACTATCAAAAATATAATACTTGAATCGTTGATAAGGTTACGAGAATAAAATTGTTTTCTTGCTGTATATGAAGCTAACTTTCATCTATTTGGGTCATTTACAAAAAAGATAATTATATTTGGAGTATAATTGATCACGTTTGCCGTTATTTCTACGAACACGTAATCATTGAAATGATGCACGTGTCATTAGAGTGGCTATCCATTCGTATCAATTGTTCTAACAAAATTCTTGAGTAAGGAATTACTGTATAAGGAATAAACATTCAAATGTAAAACTTCGTTGGAATAGTAATAACAATGCAGTAAGTAATTAGATTGCAAAAAGTTTAAGAAAGCTTTAATTGATAATCTATTTCTGATAAAAGATAAATATTATTGAAAAAAGTAGCATGCCTTCTTGGTTGCTTTGCGATCAGGGATGAATGAATTGAAATGTATTGATAATGGAAATTATGATATCTTCATCAAGAAGTCAAGGCACAGTCATCAATGATCCTTATCTAATTGGTCAACTGGTCATAACTAACTGAGTGGTAATTTAGTGGTATCATTGTGCAAAGTTATTCAAAAATATCAATAATTTAGAATTGTAAAAATTACTTTTATATTAATTTTACAATACAAAGTTGTGCAAATGAGATTATTGGAGACTCTATTTTCAGTTTTCAGCACAGGCTTAAATCGAATTCATTAATGCATATATGTCAATCGGCTAGCAAAAGCACTTATAGTGAAAATACAAGAGGATTAACAAATTGAGCAGCTCTCCGAATCTTGCCATTCCGAAACTCTTGTTCTAAAAAGAAATTTCAAACAAGTAGTAATGGAAAGAGTTTTCATTTAAATTAATTTTTAAATAGGATTGAAGAATAATTCGGAAATAGTTCAACGTGTCCACTTTGATAGGTGTCAGTTCACTGATTTCCTAGCGATAGATTTCTGCAATGAATAAAAATTCCTGCAAATTACTATTAAATTTGGCTTGCTTTTTTTGCTTACTGATACGATCAGTGATAATGCAACAGCAGAATTTACCACTTTTCATCACATTATTCCCGCAATGGGTATGGATGCTTGAACGGCAACCAGTATTGGTAATTTTATTCTTTTATCTCTTTTGCTATCATAAATTTAAGCATATGTGATCGGTATTAATCGTTTATAACTCGCTGGCTTATTATATATGTAGTCGTGAAATGGTCTATATAAGTGATGATAAAATTGATAGGTGATATAATCATCATTACTCAACTTGTTAGATAGACCTGCTAAATAACTATAAAAATCTGTTGCATCCTTCCAGTTCTTAATAATATTCAGCCAACTTCTGATATCAAAAATGCTAAGCAATGAAAATAGATTTTTACATTAGTCCATCAGCTATAAGCAAAAAATTTTGCTGAAGCAAATTTTGCAGTTAATGTTGAGGAAGACCTTTGTATACCACAGTTGAATAATTGTAAAGTCATAAAACAATTATCAGGAATTATCATGAATAGAAATAATCACTTAATTGTTCCTCTTTACTTATTCATCCGAGAGAATAACTTGGATTGCTTGTTGAGAGTAGTGATTCAGAAGAATTTGATTAGGTATAAATCGGCAACTCTGTCTCATTTAAAAACAGTAAATAACACCAGAACACATTTCCTTCGATTTGGAAGATACATAACGAGTACTTTTAAAGCAAATTAGATATTGGCCATTTTGTACATGAAACTTATGGTAGTCAAAGAATCGCCTGGTCGTTTAAAAGATGAAGCCATTGATAGAAAGGGGTCATTTGACATTATTCATTTGCAGAATTCTTTGAAATCGTAATCAAGAAAATGTACAAAACACATGTTATCATTTAATTGAGAAGTATGATTTCTATAACATAGATAACGAAATATAAAAACATTATTTAAATATTGTTATATTATAAGATTTTTGGATTTTTGATAGTCAGCAACAAATTTACCCAAAATTTAAAATATATTCACTATTACGTAGTTATATTATTATTATTTAATTTTAGGAATGTTTTACCAACGGTTTACGACTATATTTCCAACCGGAAGCAGAATTTAATGGACATGTTTATGTGAGGGGATTCTTTATGAGTGAAAACTGTCATTTAGATTACACGCGAAATCCAACTGCCAACCCATTTTACTTTGAAATTTTCTACAATGGTCCTTGTGATGTGAAATGTGAAACACAGGTAGTATTCATTTTAGATGAAATTCCTAAAATATAAATATTAAGAGAATATTGTAATTTGTAGTTTTTAACATTTTAGTTGAGCGCAGAAAAACAAATCCTGTATACTGAGAAATATAATATAAGCCAAAGTTATTCATAATCAAGTACCGTTAAACGATTAATTTATAGAGTATATTGCAGGAAAAACCACAAGGTAAAAAGTATAGTATAATTGTTATCGTTCAACACCACTATTTATTTCTAACACAAATGGATAGAGCATATGATGTCAACTGCTTCTATCAGATAAGCGATAATTTAGCTCATGAAGTGGCAATTAATGGGTAATGCAATTTCAATTTGAAGCAAATATTAAATTAGAAATGTCCCATAATTCTAAAATATTTCGCTCATAAAATCTCTTCCTGATAATAATAATATCAGGTTCAACAGAATAACAGCAATATACCTGATCAATTTGAAGAGGAGCAAAATGTTAATAATCTGATTAGAGTGAAGTAGACTTTTGAAATGGATTCGAAAAGTGTAACAATTCTTTTAGGATTATTCTCTTTGCATCTATTACTATTCAATTTAGCTCATTTTAATTTGAAATGGAGTTAATTCAATTGTGATAATTTTTATTTATAAATTAGCGGTTTAATGGTAACACAACTGGGAGAGAGAATTATCACCAATTGTACCTACGAAGTGCTGATGAATTCTACTGATGGCCAACCGGTAAAATTTGCAAAAGTCGGTGATCGATTGGTCCATAAATGGAGCTGCGACTCAGGTGAATTGAAATTACTACCCATAATATTTCATTTTTTGGATTTACTAAATTTTAAGTTGGATTTATTAAATTAAATTTTAGAATTTATTTAACTTTGATTTTGATTTAATCAATTTAGATTTGGTTCTGTTTACATTTTCGGTGAAATTTAATTTATCATTATTCGGAAATTGAGAAAATTATAATTTGCAGAAGATTATGGTATGATTGTTCATTCATGCTTTGTTCATGAATATCGCGGTACAAGTTTTCAGCTTGTCGATAATCGAGGGTAAGATTGATATGCATATAGGAATAGTTTACTTTTGCTTCCTAAATTTGTATTTGCTCTTAAAAGTTTAATCAATGCATTCTATTTTTTTTTTGTATGCATTTATAGTGAAAGCTCATATACATTTTTAATGTTGGCTGTATCACAGACAATATATTAATCGATCCATTGATTATTTATAGCTGTATTACTGATCCTACATTAATGAATCAATTGATCTATAGTGATAATCTCACTGTAGCGTATTCCGTGGTACCAGCATTCAAATTTGCCAATCAACTTACTCTAAGTTTTCAATGCAAAGTGACACTTTGTAATAAAGGACGAAATGGTTGCGTTGGCATTTCGGTATTTGATTTTTTGTTTTCAAAAAACTGAATTAAAAGTTTTTTAATTGTTATCAAGTCATTTAATTTTATTATAGTGATATTGTTTTCGTAGTTAAATAGGCTATAAACTTTCTATAATATATTACTTATAGCAATTTCTTGTTCAAAACAAAAAACATTGGCATATAGTTACAAAAAAGAGCAGTATTACAGGAAAATATTTATATGGCTATTGACTGATCACAAATGTAAAATAAAAGATTTATGAGATAAGTATTGAAATAATATTGAACTTATTTTCATCTCTCTTTTAGCCACCCGACTGCAAAATTGTTCCGACTTCAACTTCTAAACCTTCAATTCCGTCTTTGACTCCTATACCTCTTACTACAATTTTAACTTCTGTACCTCATACAACAGAATTGACTTCTACAACTCCTATTTTGACCTCGACTGTTCCAACTTCGACTCCTATTCCGACTACACTTTCTATTGTTACTTCAACTTTACCACCTTCAACATTGACAACTCGGGTTATTTTTGAACTGATATGCAATCGTGTCAAACACGGTAAGTCTAGCGTGGTAACGAATAAAATCTACACCAAAATTGGCAAATGGAATTAAAATTTGATTTTATTCGATAAAATGTGATATGCTTTGATGCTATAGATGTTAGGAATGTTGACTTATGATTAGTAATTGCCTGATCAGCTTCTTTTAGTTTTATAAAACCTTTTGAAGTAATTCATGCTGGATTGGAGGAACAGGATGAGCATATCACAAGCTCTAAAACACTATTTGCATCATCGATGTCTCGAGATATTGAGCACCTACCATGCGATGACGTGAAAGCCGATCATAGCTAATGTATAAGTAATTAAGTAGATTAGATTATAATTTTGCTTCACTTTGGAACTCACAAAAAATTTTTGACTTTTTACTTAGTTGACTGCAACCAATTTTTATTCCTAGAAAAAACTTTAAACAAAAGCTAAATATTTATTAGCATTTTGATTCCTTTCAAAATTTTTGTTAGTTATTATTTTGCTGCAGATACCAAAAACTGCAGAGAGGCTATTGCTGGCAATGAATCGAATACTTATCTAATGTCAGACGTAAAGGAGATAAGTTACAGAAGAAAGCGATTCTTAAATGAATCTCGATCAACAACGAATGCTTTTTCTCCGGAATTTCTTATTAGAGCAAATTCCACCAATACTAATCGTTTAACATTCGATATTTCTGCTGATCAGGTTTTTAAATTTTTATTTTAAGTTAAATTCATTTCATTGGATTAACTGTTAATCGATCTTCGGAATGACCAAAAATTAAATAGTGAGTTAAATTTTTTTGGTTTTATTATTTCAAAAAAAAACCTAGGAGTAAAAATGGTGAGAATAAGCAGATAAGAGATTGTTTTTCGAATTCACTTTCAATTTAACTAGGATGATTAAAGATTAGCAAGGTGTGATAAGTGATATCTTTTGCATCGCAGAAGAAGAGTTGTTAGAGTAACTTGAAATTTGATGTACACACGGAAAAATAAACAGAAATTTTGGCAAATCTAATAAGATTGATTTTTTCATCTTGCGTTATAATATATAATTGCAATGCAATAATCAAAACAAAAAATTCGTATCCAGTAATAATAAATAATAGTAATAATAACAAACAATAGTAATTATAATAAATAATAGTAATAATAACAAACAATAGTAATTATAATAAATAATAGCAATAATAATAATAATAAATAATAGTAATAATAACAAACAATAGTAATTATAATAAATAATAGTAATAATAACAAACAATAGTAATTATAATAAATAATAGCAATAATAATAATAATAAATAATAGTAATAATAAC